TTTTTCTTTTCTTTCTTTCTTTCTTTTTTTTTGCCTGTCTTTTATGAAAGACGCCCTTCGTTTTCTCAGGAAGGCTGCAACACATTTCGAGGAGGATTCTGGAATTACTTTAGCCTCGGTGAGATATCTTTTCCCCCCATTGCTTGCTCCTCTGCTTCCATCTAACTTTGGGTTTCCCACAAGCCATAGGCAAAACATCCCTCTTGTTATGTTTCCCCAACGGAGTTTTTGATCTTACAGTGTGAGATTATAACTTAGTATCTATCTTATTATTTAGTCAACAAAACCAATTTGATACCCATGTGGTAGTGCTATCCTTTTGTTTGTACCGTCAACGATCCTTTTCATCATCAATTTTCAAAGACAAATCTCCTTGAAAGTTCTATTGTGCTTATGCAGGAATGGATGCTCAGATATCTTATGCGTTTCATTCTGAGAGGAAGCTGCACCCTGAAAAATTTAAGAATCAGCTGGTTAATCAGGTACCTTTGTTCTTTTGAATTTGACCTTTTGGAGCACACCTTCTCTTTTAATACCCCTTCACTGGGATCTATACTATACAATGAATTAATATTGTGCATTGGCTTCTTACAATGCCAGAGTACGTATGTAAAGCTTGGTTGCACGCAAGGATGGTTTTGTGCCTCTCTGTTTCACCCTGCTTCTCGGTGAGTATTATGTAGACGTACTTTCGTTTTGCTGTTTTTCTGTTTCTGAGTTTCAGTCATTCACATTTTTATTTGTACTTAATGTGGGGGATTCTTGGACACGAATGATTATAATGCTCTGCAACACCACTGCCTTATCTTTTGTCTTTAGTATACTGTTTTAGTGTCAGTAATTGGAATTTTGGTGCCCATGATTCTTTTCAGCGTATGTTCATTTTTTGCTTGGGTCTCGTTGTGTGCGCTAACCAATATAGAAACATTTTTATGCTGGTTTTATATTTTCGGTTAAGTGGTCCGCATTTCTTACATTTTCAGTCTTTTGGTTGTAATCTAATGTCTGTTTATAATATGATTTTGCTCTCTTGCACATCGTTAAGGAAAACTCAATGGGTTCCCTTGCAGGAATATAGCTCAACTTGCGAAGGTTAAGATTGCAACTAAAAATGGCCAGTGGCACGACCTCCATATTCCACATAGGTAATTTTATTCATCCAGTGTCGATGGTCCTGAGGGATCACTAGATGCCGTCCAGGATGTACATGTTGGATAGTCGGGATTTTTCTGTGTGGGACCTTTAACTATATTTGGTTACATTTCAAATGTAACAAAGCAATGCCCTACTCTCTTGCAATTTACTGTTCATGCTCGAATATAAACTACTTCAATCCCGCATTTGTTTATGCTCTTGTAGCATCAGGTCCATTGTATGTCTGAATCTACCCAGCTTTTCTGGAGGATTAAATCCTTGGGGCACACCAAATCCCAGGAAACAAAGCGATGTATGTCTTAAAAACTCTAGTTATTGCCTGAGTGCTACACATAAGTTTCTGTATTTATGGTAAAATAATATGCATGTTTCTTTGTTGTGACATAACAGAGAGGCTTGACTCCTCCATTTGTAGATGATGGCCTCATTGAGGTTGTTGGGTTTAGGAATGCTTGGCATGGTCTTGTTCTTCTCGCTCCAAATGGACATGGGACACGACTTGCCCAGGTAAGAGTTGTACAAGTTAGAAGTGACAAGACACACGCACATAGAAATATGATGACTGAGTTCATTCAAATGATAACTTCTGTGACTAGGCAAATCGCATTCGCTTCGAATTTCACAAAGGTGCAACCGATCATACATTCATGAGGATGGATGGGGAGCCCTGGAAACAGCCACTGCCAATGGATGATGAAACTGTGATGGTAGAGATTTCACATCTTGGCCAAGTGAACATGCTTGCAACTCATGATTGCCGGTCCAGAAGTATATTTGACCCTTCAACACCCCGCCATCAGGATGGTGCGGAAGAGTATGATGATTATGAAGACGACTCAGTGGCTGAAGGTGAAGAATTTAGAAAATTTGGTGCTGCGGATACCTTCAAGATTCCTAATGAGGTTGATATCTCTCAACTTAGTTAGACAGTTACCATTTTTTACTCTTGATTCTATGCATTATTCCCCTGGTCTCAGATTTTTTTAATTGTCATTCTTTTCTTTCATAAAGGAGCCAGCTCGGCACCAACTGGTAGATTAGATTGGTACCCATCCTTTTTTCTTTTTTTTTTTTTTTTTAATTTGGTTGTTCACCCTTAATATAATGGCCGAGATAGTGTATCTGGATTTATAGCAACACAGTTTATCCCTTCTGTATAACACGCATGTACTGCAGCGGTAAGCAGGACAGTGCAAAGCCGCCAAAGGCGAAACTGTTAGATATTCTAACTGAGGAGCCTCTGTTGCAACTCCTTAACACAGAATCTGACCTTTTTTATAGGGAGAACACAGTAATGAAAAAGGTAGGGCTTCAAGGAGGAGGAATTCAAATGTTCATGGTTGGTCGCATTTCCTCTGAAGGCAGCACCTAAATCTTAAACAAAGTTGTCATATACTAGTAACAGGCTTACAGCACCACACTAACCTCATCAATGTATAATACCCATAAAATAACATTATGTAAATTCATGTAACCAAAAGGAAAGGCAAACAATATATACTCGTCTGAAATGTTCTTAGAAATTTATATATATATTGGGCATAGTTGTTGCTAAGAACAAAAAAATAAAGGAACAGCTGATTTTTTACGATTTCCATTCAACCAAGAAAGATGGATTATATAGAGTATCCCCCAGACACTTGGAGATAGTTTCGTTTGTCTTCTGGGATTCGGCTCTTTCCCCTTGCTTCTTCTTCTCCCTGAGTGACCAAAAGTAAAAATCAGGCTCTATATAGAAGTTTCATCGTGCAGTAAGCGCACCGTATATTCAAAAATAGACCAGTGCCTAGTAGTGTAGATAGATAGGATTCAGCATCAGTACCTCTCGACATACTCCTTAAGCAATTCCTTGGCTTGGACAAGCTTTGACAGCAGGTTACGATACACATCCAGGTCCCGGTCCACGCTTTTCTTGTTGATATTTAGGGATGCACAAAGCTGTTCATGAGACACTGCCAACGATTAATATTACCTCTAGGAAAAATGTGAGATGACAGAGAGGTCACATTTGCACATTGCCAGGGAACATTACGGATATCTATGCAGATGATGCAAAGAACTAGCGACCCTAGATCCCCAATATTGGTTAACAATCAGCTCATCAAAAAATTGATGCACGAAGTTTCTATATACGACAAGATAGCAAACCGAAGACGAATAGAATCACCTTGTCCAACACAGTGGGATCAGTAGCACTTGCAAGCTCAAGCAAACGAAAGAGCCCAACTGCGAAGAACCTACTGTAACTGAATCCCTCCTTACTCCCAGCTCTTCCTGCAATGTCCTTAAGAACTGATTCAACTTCTCCTTCCCTAGAGAAAAAGTCAACTAGTGAAGCAGAAGTCTGACTTCGTGCCCATTCCTCCATCTTTTGCGCATCAATTCTGTTTGAAGAAAAAACACAAAAAAGGGCACAAAAGCTTGACAAAAAATTCAACAAGCAGAAGGAAATATTTGCCAAGGAAAAGATGGAAGCAGCAAGCTAACCGGTATTGCTTAGGATCCTCATTCAAGGCTTCTATGTAAGCTTTGAAAATGGCATCTCGATCCTGATCGCTCGGATATCCTTCCATGAGCTGATCATATACAGTGACAAAGCCAAGAGCAAAAACAGGATCATAACGATAAGTCCTCTTATATCTCATCAAATGCTGCTGTACAATGAGCTCCTGCAAAACCGTGTTGTAGATACTGGGGATGGGTCGCTTGTAAGCTTTTAGGAAATTGGACTTAGTCTCTGATACAGGAGGCACATCATCTGACAGGAAAAAAACAATCACAAGAGTTCATCATTTGAGGACTAGTAAGAGCAAAAGTGGTGGCCGATAAAGTCGGAACCTTTTTATACAAGCGATTAAAAAATGTCGATAAAGTCGGAGCCTTTTTAATACGAAACAAAGGAGAATGGGATGTCAAATGCAATGTGAAGGGTTTCAAGGAGCAAAAGGGTAGAGAATTCACCGGTAACACTGGACATGCAGTGGATAGAAGATCTGGAAGTGGAACGGTAAGTCAAAGAGTGGCGAGAAAACTTGGTGCAGATGCGAATTGCGGAGGCCAGAGGACGAGAAAGCGCGAAATTGGAGATCTTGTCCGATGATTGTCCCAACGCTGGGAAGGAAAGAGAAGAGATTGCAGTTGCAGCCATTGGGGAAATTGAAAGAGAGAAGGAGGAGAAGCAGAGCTTGTTGTTGTTGAGACTTGAGAGAGAGAGAGCAGAGAGAGAGCAGAGTTTGTTGCTTTTGCTTAATCAAAATCTCAAGTGATAGCAGCCATTGGAAGGATGATGGATTGCTCTCTTCCTGGTTGAATCTTTTGAGGTTTTGGGATTTTTTTTGGAGTGGCTTATCCAACTCCACGAGTTGTCGGTAGTATGACACGTGTCCCTTGTAGTCGTCGCGTGTCCACGTTAGGCCTAGGCCCATTTACTTTGCATTTTTACTAAAGCCCATAATTAAATTCAGGATGTCAAATATTCCGACCGTATTGATTTTGAAAATGGTTTGCTCTTTCTCAGTCTCTCTGTTTCATCAATTCTAAACAAAGTTGTTAATTCATGCTCAAGATTCATAAAATTTCAACTTATTAGTAGTGGATTGGTACACTGATCTTCTCACTCTTGTTCTATGGTAAGAATTAAGATGAAATACAAAAAAAACCATAGATTTATACATGGATTCATTATTAGAATCAAAATGTGGGGAATGAGGGAGATGACAAAGAAAATGTCTCCACCCAAAAACTCAGGTTCTTCAGCAATACAACCAAAGCATCTATATATATATATATATATATATATATATATATATATATATATATATATATATATATATTCTAACAAGTGAAGGTGAAAAACGCTTTTAAATTTAAACTGTATCAGACGAAGAAGAGTTATGATCGTCCTTGTGATTAGAAGTGGGGAAGTGGTAATCATCCCATAGAGGGCTTCCAGGTCCCCATTCTTCAGGAATTGCATTGAGCCACGCCTCGGCCCACCCGGTCTCCTCACTCACCCCTCCCACTGCCAATGCTGAGCTCGAATCACCCTCTCCTTTCTCGCTTGCCTCTTCACTAGCAGTCGCCGTCTCGCATTGTTTCTGATGCACCGGAGTTGCCTCTTGTTTATTGAGAAAAAGCTCAGGGAAATTGAGTCTGGCCGTCTCTCCCCTCAACTTGAAGGCCTCACGGTCGTAGGCCATGGCGGCTTCCTCTGCTGTGTCGAATGTGCCTAGCCAGAGACGTGTCCTGTTCCGCGGCATACGGATCTCCGCGACCCATTTCCCCCAGTGGCGTTGTCTGACCCCTCTATATAGCTTGGTGGCGCTGAAGGGTTGCATCGGCGGCCGCGTCAGATCACCTCCTTGTCTTAACATGTTCATCATCATCATTCTTCCGCTCGGGCTCAGCTTCAGAATGTCTCTCCAGTACTGCAGCAGTTGTTGCTGTTGTTGTGCTAAATATGGCTGCACCTGTAGTTGAGGACCGAACGAGATCATTTGTTGTTGTCTATGTCCTGAAAGGTCATTCGGGTATGAAAACGGTTGTTGATTCTGAATCGTTGGAGCGATGGAAAATGGAAAAGTGACCCTGGAAGAAGAAGAGACAGAGCATGATGTAGTTGTTGGCGGCGGATGAGGAGTAGCATAAGAAGATAGGAGATAAGGATTGTGTCGGTCAAAGGTTCTGGTCTTCCTGAGACTTCTCTGAGACGTAGAGGAAGCATCACCAAACCACATGTCCGAGCCAGAACTCGAATCTTTATTCTTGCCGCTACTAATAAATTGGAGCTCCTCCTCCAACTCTATCACATCCATGTTCTCGGCTTCATTGGTACCAAGGGTCCTGATGGATTTTCCCTTGTTCTTAGCAGTAGCCATAGACGATGATTTTCACTATCCTTTTTATGGTAACGCGACCACCTCTTATGTCTTTGAGAAAACAGAGCAAGAACGGGAGAAACAGAGAGATTTGTTGTGTGGTTATGGAATATATATTTTTTGCCCCCTTTTTGTATATCGGAGCCACTACTGAGTCTTCTTAACTAAGATGTTGACATACATCACTAAGCGAAATATCTCAACCCCTCTCTCTCTCTCTCTCATGTCCGTACCATGCCTTCTTCTGTTTATTCTTTGGACGGTGGAAACATTCTTTATTGGTCTTCTTAATTATTCCTACAAAATATGTGCATCAGTGCATGTATACTTTCTTGATAGTATGGTCGGCTAACCGCGGCTAAGGATGACATGAGATGATAATGAGATTGAAGCAATTGATTACGACGTAACCTGTATTTTTAAGTAGGCTTATTCATCATTATCTCTCGCGGGTTTAGCAATTTGACTTTTCTTTTTTCTTTTTGTTAAATATATCACTCCACCTACAAAAAGACATAAACAACACCGACCAAATTTGTAACACACGAATAAGAAAATTGCTTATATATTCTCATTCAACTTAAAGTATCAACCAACTCGATTGGAAAATATATATCTCCTCTGCCCTACCATGTCAATATCATTATCACCACCATACACACCGCAATTGGTTTGGATCAATTTATTTAATTTCTGTACGACAAGAAGTGTAAGACTGTAACATTCAACCTCAAAAGTAAATAATTTCAAAGTATGTCACATAAATACTAAATTTTTGCTATTTAATCACAAAACGCTAATTTTACTAAGGTATTTTAACATTTATAGTCAATTTATTGGCAATAGTTGAGAAGGAAAAATATGTTTTAAGTTTTGGTGTAATGGTCAGGCACATGTTGTTGTCGACCTCTCCTAAGAGCAGTAAAGTGAGCATCAATCTTATCGTAGTGTAGGATGAACATGTTTAGCTTCCTTTAACCCTTATTCTACTTCCCTTTTTCTTTTTGGATCCGACTACATTGTAAACTCGTTGTCCACGATATAGTAACATTGACCACACTCTTTAATTTATAATCATATTTATCAAATATACTAGGTTCGGACCCGCGCTACAGCGCGGGGGAAATAATTACATATATATAACTTTTAACGGATTAAAATATGTTACATTTTAATTTTGTTAGAGTGCCGTCGATTACGGTAAATCATATATTTGTATAATTAATAAGTTCAAATAAAATAATAAAGGAAAAAACAAGTAAATAATCATATACTGAGTTTTGATACAATTAAAAACACGGTGAAAATTTAACAGCACGAAATAGTATTTGTCGATAAATTATTCATTTTGACCATTTTTGTAGTAAAAGTACGAATATACGTAAAATTACATATTTACAATATATTTTTTGAAAGTCCAACCCGTAACATAATTTATTTCGTAAAAAACATAATTCGTAACTCGCTTTATCATTATAATTGTGATTTTAACAAACTACCCGTGAATTATCTTAAATTTACATAGTTAGATATATAATATATTTTATCAATAAAAATTATGTCTCCAAATTACATTTATGTCTTCAAAAATATTTCAATACTTTAAATTCTAAAACTTTTATATATTTGAACATTTTATTTATAATATTTTGAAACTATTTGAAATTTTAATAATGTTCATATAACAATGGTTTTAATATTGGTCATACTTATAATGATTTTAAACCATTGTACAAAATATTTTATTGAGTGTAGTTGAGTATTATATGTCCGTTTTGAAAAATTCAAATTGCAACATATGCAAAAAAAAAAAATATTTATTAAATATTTATATTATATAGTATAATATCATAAATTAAAAATAATATCAAATAAAAGTGAAAGAAGAATAATATTTTTTAAATAGATTGTATTAAATTAGTTAGAGAAATATTAGTAAATCCTATAATTAATTATGGAAATAATACAATCCTAAAATTAGATTTGAAAAGTATCCGGTGTATGTATCCAAACTCATTAATCTATCCAACTTTAAAATATCCAGTTACAAATTTCGGATAATTTTTTGAAATTAACCCGACCCGAAAGCACTTTTTGTACTTCTCTTTTACTAATATAGGGATATTGAAAATTTTCATCGATCTGGACATGCCTCTCACGAAAGAGAACAGACTCATTCATCCATCTTTAGACTTCATGAGAGGCTTCTTCATGTCCTAACCTCCACGAGATGAAATCGGTAAAGGAATGTGAATGCATCTTAAACGATGTGAGAAAAATACCCAATATGGCATCTCACCGATAAAGGCAATGAGTTAAACAAACGATGAACCCTTCAATTATGTGAAAAGGTCTCATTTAAGCAGTTTTGAATAAGTAGAGGCTCACTGTGTTTCCTATGGTCACATTTCTTTACCTATATAATCTTCTTTTTTTTTTTTTTTGAATCTTTTATATATCTTTGAATTAATCAGAAAATATTTACAAATCATTAAGTAAACAGCTCCTTAAGCAAACAAGATGATGCAATGTTAGTCGAGAAACAAAATTTACTCAGATTATGTTTATCCGCAATTTTTTTTGACAAAATGGAGACATGTCAGACCGTCGTGCGACCACCCCAACAAGGTGGTTCAAACCGTGTATCAAGCCTCTACAACATCGGATGCGTCCGAGAACGATCGTGGCCGTTGCTCACGCTTTGATCGCACGATCATGGTTCATCAACCAGGGTTAAAAGCCTCTCTCCACAAAAATCAAAGATACATGAAGCACGAGGCTATAGAACGTATCATGTTCAAGTAAGGTCGTATCCACAATTAATTCTATAGAAACTGCATTAAAGAAAATGCATGCCTCTGATCAAATACGCCAAAAAGGTTTTTTATACGCTTCTGAAATTGTTTATTTCGGATCTGGCAATCTCTTCCATGAGTATCCCTTCGGTGAAGCTTTTGAACTTTCTTTTAAACATTGTTTTATGACATCTTATTAGTGGTTTTTAAAAAAATCTTTTTGAACAAATTACAAAATTATATCTTGTTTGACTCTGGCCTAAGTAGCTAAGTTTCTTGATTTTTTTAATATTCTAACCAATTATATTATATCAATTTTCTTGAATTTTAAGTTCATCACATTCCATCTTAAAAAGAATAAAAATTGGATTGATGAAATCTTAAGCGATTTGATGAAAAATAAAGAGTTTTAAGATGAGTCTTATTGCTTGTTAACCACTCTTCAAATGCTGATCATCTTGCAACTAAATATTTTTCATCAATTGCTAAAGTTTTCATTTGATTGCTAAGAAGGTGTAGTAATGTCAGAATATTTAGATGACTCAAGTATAATCTGTAATTATATAGTAATTGATAAATTCATGTAATACATTAACTCAACTATATAATTATGATGTTATATAACACAAGACCCAAGACAATGTCCCTATATCTCAGCATATATGCTCAACCTTTTTACTTTTCATTTTTTCCTTTTAGTAAGAACATTAATTGGGGGGCATTAAAGAAGGTCACACAAAAGAAGGGTTATTCCAGATAAATTAAAGGTGATTGCATACAAAAGTATGTCTTCAGCTTTTCACAGAGGAAGCTCATGACACTCACCCAAAGCAACACGAATGAAGTTCAAGTTTTTAATTAGGCTTCACATACTACAACTCCTCAAAATTTATATCATTTCATATGTTCGATCTTGTTTCCATGTGACTTTCATTTTCTCTACCGTGAGTCTCTTCAATATCCTAACCCTATGTTAACGATCATATATACCTTGTTTCTTGCCGTACGTACCACACATTACTTTATCTCAAATTTTTACTTCACTATACGACGACTTACAAAATATCATGAAGTCTCTTCTTCTCCTTGCCGTATTCCTTTCTTTCTTCTTTGGCTCTCTCTTGGCTAGGAATTTACCAACTCCCTCCCATCCAAGTATGTATATATGCTCTTCTATCTTACTCTCACCCCACACCTAGCTCTTTCACTATTTTCAAGCTCTCTAAGTTGTTCATGTCTACGTGCATGTGTAGGTCATCATCATGTGGGAATGACCAGGACATTGAAGCGTCAGAGGAGGAGGCCGGACACCGTGCAGGTGGCTGGGTCTAGGTTGCCAGACTGCGCACACGCGTGTGGCTCATGCTCCCCATGTCGTCTTGTGATGGTTAGCTTTGTGTGTGCAACTTTGGAAGAGGCTGAGACTTGTCCAATGGCTTATAAGTGCATGTGCAACAATAAGTCCTATCCCGTCCCATGATCAGCTAGCCTCTATCCTATTTTATTTTACGCATTCGACCGTTTTGTTTTCCTTTTTCCTTTATAAAATGCATCCTTCGTTTCTTTTTTTAATCAATAGGAATAATCCAGTTTAATCAGACTCATTAAAGAAATTATATGGAAAGTAGATGAAAGCCAGTCACCTAGCTATTTCGGCTCCCCCACTGTATTTTGGTCCATGAGGCTGCATTTAAGACTGCAACAACAAAAGCTGTAGACAGAATTGTAATTAAAATTAAGGCAACAGCAAAAGTACGTATACGTTGTTACCACCAAACTTTGGATGCTCGCTAATAATAACCACACTACCCATTTCTTACACACTCTTTATTTTCAACCATATCATCCCACCTTCGTTAAATGTTCCCACAGTTAGCTCAGTATTTTTACTATATATACATACACACGCCTTCCCTCCACAAGATCAAACAAAACACACGAGTCTTCATCTTCTCAACGACAAGATCAAATAATGGCTTCTTCCCTTCTCAGTTGTGCAGCCACTGTTGTGCTATTAAGCATATTGCTTGGATGTGCAGACAAGGTGAGTGGGCTACGTCACGTTCCCAAATCCCCTAAGACCGCTGATGTCAAACACCCTGACTTTCTTGTCACCATTGAGCCCAAACCAACTATTCTCATCCCCGGCGTTGGAAGGTTCTTGCTTCCTCCGAAATGTAAGAAGCCGTTTTACCCTTACAATCCTGTCACCGGAGCTCCCCTTACCGGTGGGGGAATCCCATCATATAATGGTGGACAAGGAACCGGACCGCGCACCCAACTCCCTGGTGGCGATGATACGCTGGTCCCAAACCCTGGGTATGAAGCTCCAACCCCAACCACTGGAGCTGGTGCAGGAAGCAACGGCCAAGTTCCACCAGTGCCACTACCCTGAGTACTATTATTTTGTCAACAAATAAGCATATCTTAGATGCAAACGGGTCTACTTTGCTGTCCTTAGTCTTGGTTAGATAAGTAACCCTCTGTTTTATTTGCCATCTCTTTTTCTCTGTACTCTCTCTATATCTGCTACCAAAAGAGAGAATATTGTCCCATTTTCTTCAGTTTATATCGTCAGATGAATTCATTTTTACATACCATTATATTTAATAAACTTTATGTTCCACTGTAAAGACTCCTCCAATTAGCAGTAGATACTAACACTAGTAATGACAGATAAAATTCAGAAAGTAAAAGTGTAAAACCATCATATTAAAGTTCTGATGCATATACTATTCAGACGGAATGTAACAAATCGCTCAATTTCCCAAGACTTTGAATGACCAAACTTTAGTCCAATCATTAACCATATGATATGCTAGTGCAGTAGGGATAATGGAAGCCACTGTATGGCCAAGCGAAGGCTAACGAACAGGCTTAGTAGATCAAATGGAGACATTAAAGCCCGCAGATATGCAATTGTTGCACACCAACAATGCAGTAAGGAATCAATCAGTAGACAAAATTAATTGTAGCGTTGATACACTCAATATCTCGAGGATGATAAAACAACGAGTCCGAAAAGAAATTCATCGAACACCAAAAAGCCATGGTTTCAGATCTTCGTCAAGTCTATGATGTCTTTGAACTTTTGTTAACGTAAGAAGTGAATGTCCCCACGTTCATTGCTCAGCCTGCACCAAGTCATAATGGTGGATTGATGATCCCAGATTTTAAAAGCAGAGCAGCAATCTGCCAATCTCTAGAACACTATAAGGAAGACATGCAAAATATCTTCTGTATTTCATAAGTCTATAATCTTCAGGTAAAAGAACAGTTCACAGAGTTCATGATTAGTCCCCACCACCACCAGGCCACCACTACAGTTTCAACTTTCAAGTTTAACAATACAGCTAGACTAAAATGCTCCAAAAAGAGCAGAGTCATATATATCAGAGAAGTATTCGAGAAGTACAATGATAGTATGAGAAAGAGAGAGACTAGACACACATTTGATACTGGAGGACGATAGTATTACATTTTCTCACCATTATTCAGAATGTAGTGGATAAGTTTTGCGAAAGCGTAGGAAAAAAAAAATCAATAAAGTGAAAGAATTCACATACGATTGTGTAATCTTGAATGAGTATCTACGGGGAGGTAGAAGGAGAAGCAACTCGATCAGCGTCTATCATCGACTTTATGTAGTACTCTCCTGCTTTGTATGAAGACCTCACCATTGGCCCTGATGCTACATACCTGAATCCCTGTTTTACCACCAACACATTCCAGTTAGCTTTCTTTGCCATTATATAGCTCAGGTAATAAAAACTTAAACAAGGAAGGGACCAGTACCATTTCCATGCCAAGAAGCCGATACCTCTCAAAGGCCTCTGGTGTCACATACTCAGCTACTGGCATGTGCCGCTTAGAGGGTCGCATATATTGGCCAAAAGTCATAACGTCAACCCCTGCTACTCTCACCTTCTCCATTGTCTTGACCACTTGATCAGTGGTCTCTCCACATCCCAGCATTACAGAGGTCTTTGTTAGGGTGCCTGCAGGTGCATGGTCCTTAGCCATCCTAAGCACATCCAGAGACTGTTTGAAGTTAGCACGATGATCCCGCACAGAACTCTGAAGCTCTTCAACTGTCTCAATGTTGTGGGCAAAGACGTCAAGCCCTGACTTGGAAACCTTTTCAACACATCCACCATCTCCACGGAAATCCACGGAAATCAGGAACTACAACATCAAAAAAAAAAAAATCGAAAACAAATTCAAAAAAACTCATGATCAAACAAGGAAACCCTCAGCCTCACATCTCATCATTATTACCTAGTGCTTCAATAAGCATCTCCGGCTTCAAGAATTTCAATCTCTGTACTGTTTCGGCAAAATGCCCACTCCCCTGATCAGGTAAATCATCTCGATCTACACTGGTGATCACAACATAATCAACTCCCCAGGATGCAATTGCTTCAGCCACATTGTTAGGTTCATTAGGATCAGGCGGAGGAGGTGTACGCGATGTCTTCACATTACAAAACCTAGAAATAGAAGCCCCTTTGAGAGAAAAGAGAGAGGAAAGATCTGACGGGATTAAGAGGACGAAGATTGTACCTGCAGCCGCGTGTACATGTGTCGCCAAGGATCATAATCGTAGCGGTGGCGGTTCCAGTTTCGCCACCAGACCAGCACTCGCCGAGGTTGGGACACTTAGCCTCCTCGCAGACGGTGTGAAGCTTAAGGTCTCTCAATTTCTTCTTGATCTGGACATACCTCTCGCCGCCGGGAATAGATTCCTTCATCCATTTAGGTTTCGGGAGAGGCTTCTTCTTGGTTCCGACTTCCACGGAATAGGTATCGCCGTGGATGAAATCGGTAAGGGAAGGCGACTCATTCGCCAGCCGAGCTCGAAGAGCCTCGAGACTCTTGGGGGATTGCGTTACGGTGACCGGACTTACCGGCGAGGAAGAGGAGAAGCATCTCGACGCCGGACGGAGGAATCGGGAGAGTAGGGCGGAGCGAGGATGCATCTCAGACGTCGTGAGAAATGTCCCGATTAGGAGGATGAAGTCTCACTGGTGACGGCAATTAGTATAAGGTGACCATTGAACCCTCTAGTTCTCAAAGAAGCTCCCATTTGGGCCTTTTGCCCATAAAATCGAGCCCATTATATTCCTAAATAAATGTAGGTCTTCTATATTGCGTTCGACCCATTCACATTAGACGACCCAGAAGTCCCTAAAACTCAAACCAAAATTGCTGTATTATATTATAAAATATTAGAATTTATCCCGTGTTACACCACGGATCCATAATATATATATTTGTTTTTTTTTTGTCATCAATATATATATTTGTTTGGTTGGTCATGGTTTATATAGTCTAGTTTTTATATGTGTTTATTTTATTTTCATTTTATATAATTTTATGAATTTGTATAATAATTAGATTCATAGATATATGTGATCAACCATCAACCCACGGTACATCGCGGATCGATTTGGTTGTAAATAAAAAATTTATAGTTTAACTTAACCCGTTAAATATTTTTAACATAGATGACCCCTAAAAAAATATAATCATATTTGTGTAAACTCGAACTCATTAAACCATATTTATGTACAATATTATTATACTTTTAATTTTGTTAGAGTTAAATTATTAATAATTTCTAGAGTTTAAATATTTTTAATAGTTTAATATTATATAAAGATTAGATATTATAATATTTGATGATTTAAAAAGTTTAATATTTATAATATTTTGAAACTTTTAAATAAAGAACTGGATTAAACCGAATAAAAAATTAATGTGGATGCCTGAGAAATCAAACTTGATGATCATTTGTAGTTGGGAGCATATTATTCCTATTTATAATTATTTTGAACTATTATCTAAAATTTTTTACTTTGTATAAACATTTTTTTCCTTTATCGATTGACTAATATACGTCCGTTTTCAAAAATTTAAATTGTAAAATATGCGAAATATAATTTGCATTGTATTATACATATATTTTATATAATAATATAAGATTATATAAATATATTGGAGAGAGATTCAATTAATTATAGAGGTATTTTAAGAAACTTTTTTGAAGTAATAAATATTTGTTTCCAATTTTGCGATTTGCTTGTGATTTAGCTACAAAATTGACTTTTAAGTTTTTTTATTTATTCAAATGGCAAGAGTTTAATTATGCAAATATTACCAAATAAAAGGTTATAAGCCTAAATAGATTTTAGTATAAAATGTACTTAAAAATGTATATATATATATATTGTCATAGACTCCATAGGGTACAATCCTAGTGCAAAAATAAAGTCTCAAACACTTTACCATTTCTTTATATTACTAGACTTTGATATTATGACTACATCAACCATATTTATTACTAGCCTAATCAAATTTTCAATTAAGATTTTAAGAAATCTCTTTATAATCATCAATGTATCTAACTATGAAACTGAGCCAGTTATGACAAAACATTGCCTCCTTCCATTGTCATAGTTTTTGTTGTATTGGATAATCACAATAAAATAGTTGTTTTACTTGAACAAGAAACTGATATGAATGTGTAACGGCCATTGCAAGTAAGTAAACCATGAAAACACATTCAAGAAAAGAAAAAAATATCAATGGCATTGAAAAGAGGAATCCCTAGATGATGAGACTGAATCAAGCTTACCGCAAAAGAACTAACCTTGCCGTCATCTTGCGACGGGAGATACAATCCGAGCAACCCAGAGAGAGCAATGAAGCAATTGGGTTCAGTTCAAGAGTAACACTTGTAAACCTAAGTTAATATATGAAATATATAAAACGTATAGTTTAAAATATTATTTATATTTGTTGGTAATATATTTGTGTTTTCATATTATGATAACATAGTTGAAAAATTATTAGTTTGTCTTTTAGACGTTGTATTTTCAAAATAAATGTACTAAATTTGTAATGATGTAATAAGAATAAATTGTAGGTGTATTAGGGACATGATGATGTGAATGTTGGATTGTATTGTTACCCATAATAAACTCTATCATACTGTGTATAGAACGAGATCGAACGTGAGCCGGATTAGTGATTATTTATTTAATTTTTTAATAATCTTGTGAACTGTCAAACTGGATTTAAAACTATCAAAAATGATTATAATAATAGAAATAAGATATGGTAACATTCAAACATTGTGAGTATAGTTTTCAGTTCCATTCTGTCGCACAATTATAATAGAATATGTTTCATAATTTATATTTCTATTTGAATACAAATATACAATTGTTCATTTAGATGCGTCAAGGCAATGTTTCTCATTCTTTGTTTGATAAACTAAATCTTCTTTGTTGGTATCTTAAGTGGAGAATGAAGGCTATCAACATGAAAGTCTTACCGTTTTAAGGATGGTATTGAAAAATGTACTTCTAGTTTATAATTTAACTAGGTTTAAATCCGCGATACACCGTGGGACAAATTTTATTATTTTATGTTCTATAGTATTTTTTTATTTTTTTAATAAGTTGTATGTTGCATAGTATTTGTATTTACTTTATCATTGAATTTTTAAATTATAATCAATGAATGTTACAAATTATATAGTTTGATTTATAGTTTTATATCTCAAGTAAGTATGTTAAAATGAATTCAATATTAAAAAAAATATTTTTCGTATAGTAG